CCCTATCTATCCCCGCCGCCCTCCCCTTGCCCGGGCCGGGGGGTGCCGGGGCCGCGGCGCTGCGGGAGGCAGCTGCTGGCTGCCACGGCCCTGCAGGGCCGGCTCCCGGGGCCAAGAGGGGACACTGCCCTTTCTGTCCATCAGCTCCTCCTCCTCTCTTGTTTTTCGCTGAGGTCATTTCAGCTTCTCTCAGTACGCTTATTATTAATATGTTTTGCCTACTCTACTCTCCCTCCTCCCTTCCCGCCCTGGCCACTAGCCCTCCGCAGCCTCGTCAAAGGGATAGGTGTTTGGGGTGGGATGTAGCTGGGGAGGAAGATAAGCCTGAGAAAGGGAGGGGGGAGCGAAAGGGAGAGCTTTTGCTGTCGTCTCTGGGCTGATTGGAAGAGGCAATCATTGTATCTGCGGCCGGAGGATTAGCAGCTAAACTTTTATTGCTCCCTTTTGTGCGTGCGTGTGTGTGCGTGCGTGTGTGGGGGTGTGTAAATGGAGAAGTCGCCTCCCAAGGGAGAAAATCTTTTCAATTTCTCTTTGGCAGGTGCAGTTCAAGGAGGAACTCATGGGCATTTTGTCTGATCCATGAACTGATTAGGGGAGAGGAGACGATCCCTCTCCTCTTACTCTTCCTTTCCCAGTTTTGAAGTCATTCTTTCCCCACCACCACCATCCTCCCGCCCTTCCCTTCCCCTTCCCCTGCACTGAATGAATGGAGGAGTCTCCAGGGTTTTCTTCTTCTTTCGCCCTGGACTGGAGAAGCGAGGGGACATCTCTCTATCCCCATCCATCTCTATCTCGCTCCATCCATTCCCGAGAGGATTTCAGACGGTGCAATGTGTTTTCAACCTCTTGCCGCTGCTACCACTTGATACTATGCTACGCGCAGGGAGAGGGTTTTGCAAAAAAGGATTTGTTCGATTTTAAAGGATTTCTTCTCTAATAAGGATCGCATTGCACACAAATATGACTAAATCCCCTATTTGGTAAATCTTTCTTCCCTCCACCCCTCCTCTTTGGGTTCCCTCCCGCCCGCCCCCACCCCTTCAGAGGAGCAAGCACAGGGAGCTGATGACGGACCCATTAATCCCTTCTTCAACGCATCAAAA